AGAAGCAGTTAAGGCTAACCTAAAGATTTGATATTGACAGTAATTTCTCTGGAAGAGATGGTCCGCCTTCTGCAGGGACTGTTCCCTCCGCGACACCCTGGTCCACACTTCCTTCACCCCCAACACCTCCCCACAGCCCTACGGCACCTTCCCCTCTAACTGGCGAAGGTGCAACACCTGCCAATTTACCTCCTCCCTCCCCAGAATCCAAAGTCCTAAACAAAGCTTTCAGGTGAAGCGACACTTCACCTGCACTTCCAAGAATCTAGTCTACTGTATTCGCTGCTCACAGTGTGGTCTCCTCCACATTGGGGAAACGAAGCGTAGACTTGGCGACTGCTTCGCAGAACATCTACGTTCTGCTCGCAAAAAAGACCCTGAATTACCTGTTGCCTGCCCCTTCAATGCACCACCCTGCTCCCTGGCCAACATCTCTGTGTCCGGCTTGCTACAGTGTTCCAGTGAAGCCCAGCACAAGCTGGAGGAACAACACCTCATTTTCCACTTGGGGACCCTACAGCCCTCCGGACTCAATATTGAGTTCAATAATTTTAGGGCCTTAATTCTCCCATGTCCCAGCCCCCCACCCCACACACCAGGCCTTGTTACCACATAGCCTGCCACTACACACCCCGTGTTGTTAGTCACTAACAGTCCCCATTAACAACTATTCACCCTCCCAGCCTGATCGTTAGCAACTCCTCTGTCTGTCCAACTGTCTTTCTTTCTCTTTGGGTTCTATCCTATCGTTTACTCCCTACCCCACCCACCTCCCTATTTTCTGCATATAAACTGACGTTTTCCCAGCCACCATCAGTTCTGAGGATGGGTCACTGGACCCAAAACGTTAACTCTGTTTTCTCCTCCACAGATGCTGCCAGACCTGCTCAGCTTTTCCAGCAACTTTGTTTTTGTGCCAGTAATTTCTCTGGATTTGATGTTGGGTAACAGATGAGATGTTGTTTCTCTGTATGTTTTGAGATCTTTCAAACTGGTTTCTAGGTTTTAATGTATTTTTCCCCTCTTAAGAAATAAATTTCTGCTTTATTGTTGAAGAAAATCTACAGATCTACGTTTCGGTGAATGGTCACCACGCTAAATGACATTGCAATTAAAATTGAAAGTGCTAGCCAAGTGCAGATGTGGCTCTGCATCGGGGGTAAAAAAAACCCAACATTAGGTGACAATTGTGACAGCTCCAGGTGGTCAACACAGAACCTCATGGTCATAAAGGGAGGCTCTGAATCGTGGCCAAGTCTTTCCTGCTTAACTACATTACCATTAACATCAAACTTCAGAGCACCACGGTGACAAAGGTGTTTTTCAAAATTAAATTTCACTTGTAAATATCTCACGTTATATTAGTTTCACACTATTCACAGGTGCGTCACCATCATTGGTTGAGGTTAGCTTACTCAGAGAGCTAACTTCACTGGCATGTAGCATGGTTGACATACACTTGATGGTTACAAGGGAATTAAAGACATTTGCTTTACTGTATAAAAAGGAATGTTGTGTTTTTTTTAAAAATTGCATGTCCACATTAGTGTCAAGTATTGTACTTGCTACGCTGTGGGACATGGCCGAACTTGCAGGATCAGCTGACCCTCCAATTTAGGCATTGTGAAGCAGAATGTTCGAGACTACTCCCAGCAGGGATTAGTGATAGATTGGATGTGAACTCAAAAGCTCTGCAAGGGCTCTGCCAAGAAAAACTCTGAGACTGCCACACATTTGATTGATTGATTTATTGTTGTCACATGTACCGAGATACCGTGAAAAGTGTGTTTTTGCGTGCTATACAGGCAGAACATACCGTGCAAAGTGCATCAGGGTAACAGAACAGAGTGCAGAATGCAGAGTTACGGCACAGAGAAGGTGCAGAGAGAGAGATCAGAATTAACATTTGCGAGGTCCGTTCAAAAGTCTGATAACAGCGGGAAAAAAGCTATTCGTCAATCCAATTCCTCGTGTATTCAAACTTTTATATCTTCTGCCTAATGGAAGCAGGTGGAAGTGATTATAACCTGGGTGGGAGGGATCTTTGATTATGTTGGTTGCTTTCCAGAGGCAGCAGGAAGTATCGATGGAGATATCTGGACAATACTGACACTGTTTTTCAGGTTCCTCACTTTGTTACTTCACCTGATTACTCCCAGCACACTCACAACACAAAGCCCTTCCCACTTCATTCCTCCAGTCCCCCCAACTCACACTTTGTTCTCCCTAACATTCCTCTTCCAACCCCCCATGTCCTACCTTATCCTCTGTCTTCTCCTTCCTTTGACCTTCCACTGCTCCCTGTCCCTGACCACCACTGACAAACCCTCAGGCCGGACCTGAGACTCTATGTCAGATGCCTTTCTCCAGCTCTTCTCCCTTTTGCATTGGAGTGAAGCAAGGCAAACCATGGACCTGAGAGACAACCGAGTGAAACCAAGTGATGCATACTACCTTTAAACAAGTGTGAACCAGCTGACACAAGATTCTCATACACTACTATCATTATCATGAAGGTAGGACATAATTTTCAATACTTTAATGACAAGGACGAGACTTGATGCACCACAAACCTTTATCTCTCTATCTCAAACCACAATTGGGAAATCAAAATTTTGTCTAATTAAGTTACTTCTCATGTTACTTTTCCCGTTCTTGTGGGCACCATAAAATTCCAAGTCACAGTGAATTCCATGTTCTTCATGTTTTTGCCCATTGAATCATCCTGTTAGAATGTCATCTTTGTCTTCAGGATTACTGACTACACTTTCTCTTTTCAGTAACATGTATACATTCAGACGTCACTTCCTCAACCCTGATTTCAGGACATACTGGAGATGACTAATTGGGAGACATTTGATTCTTTATTCTGTTGTTAGTTGAGATTTAGCTCGTGTGGGTCATGAAAAGCAGCTTGGGCATTTGGGCTGAATGGCCTGTATATGTGCTATAAATACCCAGCAATTATTGTTTTGAATATGAGTAAAATGACAGACCAAGGTGCATTTATAAAGTTACATCTAAATGAGAAGTCTCAAGATGTACTATGTGCAATAACTTGCAATGTTTGTCAGTAATTTCCCAGCTACGGTTGTCCCTATTAGCTTGTAGCTATAGGCCACAGAATCATAGTGCTTGTTTTGTATGAGGGTAGAACGTTGGCCAGAATATCAGGTAAAATGCCTTGCTTAAAAAAATAATATGGAATTATTCTAAGACTGGAACACTTTGGGATGGGGAGCATAACCACTGAATAGCAGCAGTGCCCCGATCACAGTTAAAAAGAGAGAATAATCTGAAAGGGGTTGTTTTTTAATTTTTTCCTTTTCTTTATGAAATGTATTCTTATATACCAATGGGGCGGCACGGTGGCTCAGTGGTTAGCACTGCTGCCTCACAGTATCAGGGACCCACGTTCGATTCCACCCTTGGGTGACTGTCTGTGTGGAGTTTGCACATTCTCCCCGTGTCTGAGTGGGTTTCCTCCGGGTGCTCTGGTTTCCTCCCACAGTCCAAAGATGTGCAGGTTAGGTGAATTGGCCCTGCTAAATTGCCCGTAGTGTTCAGGGATGTGTAGATTATGGGGGATGGGTCTGGGTGGGATGCTGTGAGGGTCGGTATGGACTTGTTGGGCCGAAGGGCCTGTTTCCACACTGTAGGGATTCTATAAAAAAAATCTTACATGTCCTCAGCTCTCTTGCAGTCTCACCAGTCAGATGGAAGTTTCACAGCTCCCTCTAAATGGGCAATATAATCACAATCTCTGGAAAATTGTAGCAGCAGTCACTGCAGAAAGTGACTCATTTATGTCATTGTCATTTTACTGCAAAGTGGCTCATCTTGAACACTTCTCTAAGGAGAAAATGGCAGGATATCATACTGGGGCGTGTCCCTCATATTGCCATCTTTTCCCAGGCTGCAATTGATCATTAATAGGCTCTGTCTATAATCCCTGGACAAAATAATTGAGGAGGTCTAGTTATTTTAAGGTATAATGAGGAATTGTATTAAATTGATGCAGTACTTCATCACAACAGGGATGGTACTTGCTCATGACAAGATCCTATGCATGGAGTTCTTTAACATGGGGAGATGTTTGCACTGCAGTTAAAGCACTGCTCTAGCTGACCAGGAAGCTCTCACATTCTTGTTGCCTGCCATAGGTATATCAAAGGATTTAAAGACTGATAACGACGTACCTTCCATTACCATCAAATCCCTATTTGGATTTGACCCCATAGCTTCTGACCCAGAGGTAGGGACGCTATCACTGTACTACAAGACCACTACATATTAAATACCTACGTTTGACTTGGGAAAGGCAGGAGATAACTTTGTGCCATGCTTTGTGTTGTGCATATCTTGGACAGTTATCATTGCTTCACTGCATACTGTCCTAATGTGCAGCCCTTAATCAAAAAAAAACTAAATAACCAAAACATTGAAGTGGTGAGAATTGGTTAAAAAAATGTTTAGAGAATTACATTCGCTATATCATTTTGATATCAAAAGTTGCTCTGCATATGACAATTTCATTAAGTTAGCTCTGTTGACAGTAATCATGTTATTGCTATATAAGGAATCCCATCTTAATTAAAAAGAATAGAATAGCACTTCAACAGCTAATGCCATTTCCAGCTGATGAGCGAAGAAGGAAGAAGACAATTGAAATGTACATAGGCTTGTGCCTCTACTTGTGCCACAACAATGACATTGTCAACATAGTGACCACAAGGTGTCCATTTTAGTGTATAACCCAGCAGGATTCATCTCTTATTGCATACTTTATTACACACTCACTGAAGGTAGGAAATTAAACATGTGCCGATATGTAATTTTCAATCCACTCTGCAGCTCTTAGTTTATCGAGCAGCTTATTACTTATCAACAAGTGGTACTTTTCACCTGAAGCCTTTAGCAGGAGGCAGAGAGTGTTCAGGGGCTAGAAACAATTCATTTGCAATCCAGAAAAATAAAGACAATGATTAAATCTTACTCACTTGATCAGGAAAGTTTCTGATAGTAGTCCAAAGCAAACAGACGCTGCTTTAAAGAGAGAATGAGGTGGTGGGTCATCGAAGGCTGTCATCATCCTGTACACGGTGAATGGTACAACCATCATTAGGCCCAAGATTACTGTGAGAATTACCCAGTTCTGCCAACGGAAGGCAACAAGCTTCCATGCTGAGCCAGTCTGAAGGTGGTACTGTGGACACACAAAGAATTATTGAGAGCCGGAATGCATTGCGCAATGGAAGTAAATTCAAAAACAACACTTAAAGGAATTAGAGAAACACTTGAAGTGGAAAAAAAACTTGCGGGGCTACAGGGAAACAACAGGAAAGGGATTTGGGACGAGCTCTTTCAATGAGCCAACATTAACATAGTGGGCTGAATGGCCTTCTGTTATGCTGCAGTGGTCTATGATATGAAAACAAATATCTTAATACGTTTGGTGCAATGAACATAAATAGCCTATAGCCAGAAAAAAAAACAAGACAGTGAAACAGCACAGCAATAACTCATGTCTGATGACTTCTAATTATTGCCGCAATTCGTTTTGCAAAGTTCAAATAAAATTATAGCTGCAAGTACATATTGGTTTACTCAACAACTCTGCCAGTTGTAAATCTATCCTAATACTATCTTATGAGAAAATAGGGTAACGTATTAAACATGCAACTGTGCATGAATCGTTATATATTATTAAACCAGTGAGGATGGTCTTTATTATGTACAGTATTTATATTCTACAGCTTGCAAGCCTCCAGCAAGAGCTTTAAATCTGATACTGCAGACAATGTTGTATATTAATCCATATTTTAAAATGAATTTATGCTTGTTGTTCCTTTTTCTACGACATAAGGTAAGTGCAATTCAAAAGAAGGAACAATAAACACTAACCAGCTTTTGTTAAATTGCTCTGGAGAAAATTCTAGCTGAATTTTAAGAGCCAGCAGGAATGGCTTACTGTACATGGCTTAAGTCAAAAGACCAGATCTTTAAGGGGCTGGAAAGAACCTGTGAACCGTTAAAAATGGTGGACAGGACGTGATGTGGAACTCCTGTCCCATTTTCTGACACACAATCCACCTTTTACTGGTGGGAAACCCAAAATTTGAACTTAATGATGAGTTCAGACTGTGGTTGTCCCAAGGAGACTAACTCTCGGTGCCAAAGTCACAAATTAATAACCAGAAGAAAACATTCTTGATAGGTGGATGAGGTATATTTAAATCTGATGATCTGAAGGTTACAAAATTTCTTGCCTCTGGGCATTTCCTTGGCTTACACAAGGTGAAGGTGGAAGATCCCACACAACTGTTTCGAAGGAGAAGGAGAACTGCTGAGTGAAAAATCATGAAAACTAATTACCCAGTTTTTAGCATAGTGCTATGTGTCAGAGTTTGCTGTGTGCAAATTGGCTGTCATGTTTCCTGCATTATAATAGTGACTACACTTTAGAATGGTTAAATTTACACTGAGGTGTGGTATAAATGCAGGCATTTCTTCAATGCAGCCTTAGTCATGCATCTTCAGCAGCATTTAGCAGTGAAATAGTTAAAACTTGAATTAAAAGGCAGCTGTCATCAAGGCTCATGCATGGTCCATTGGTAGTATTCAGGTCTCATTCTCATCATTCTATCACTGGCAGAACATCGAGTGCTTAGCCCGCCTGATTGCTAAAGGCTGCTTTCACCTCTGTATCTGACCGGAGAATGTTGTTCTTTTTTTGCACCTGGGCTCTTCATAGTTTTCTTGGGTCCAAACACAGAACCTTGTGTGTCCCCCCTTTAACAATACCACCTCCTCCAACTTCCTCCAACAGGGACTGAAAAGAGAGAGTTTTCTTGATGTTTCAACATTGCTTAATTAGTGCCCTAAATGCATTTGCAATGCACACTGCACATTGTGCGCTGTTGCCCATGAATTAGTTCCTATGTGGCAAGTGCCGTCAAGCTATCTGTGATTTTCTAATGTAACAGCGAGCCCCAGTAATGGTTCACTGATAACTGAATGCATCTATCTTCATTACCTGGTCATTTCTGCTTCGGCTTGCTCTACTGCTCGTAAAGGATATGGGTTTGAGTGAGCATCACAATCAAACCTTCATCCCAAGCAGATTCAGAACTTTCACTCATTTAATCTTGACTTCTCTTAATTACATTTTTATTAAAAATGCAATCGTTCATGATGACACATTTCTGTGAGGACGGTTGGAATTTACAGGCAGATTCACTTCATTTCTCAGTTATCAATTCAAGTATCAGCATGAAATAAAGCAAGTCGAGGCATTTTTTTTTAAAAAGCTCTTTACATAAATATAAGGTTAAATCCATTTCGATTTATTGCTGTGCTGCTGATGTTATAGCCTTTCTGGATACTAAGGGAATCAATGGATATGGAGGCAGCATGGGGACTTGAACTGATGTAGATCAACCACGATCTGATTGAATAGCACAGAACACTCAAGAGGCCGAATGGTCTCCTTTCCCATTTCTTCATTAATTGCACCACAGTGTCAGCACATAGGATACTGGTTCATGTGATCATGTGGAATGTTTCATAATCCAAAGGCCCTGAAGGGCCCACAACTCCAAACTCCACCATTGCAGCTGTTGGAATTTAAATTCATTTAATTAAATAAAAACTGGGATTGAAAGCTGGCTTCATAAAACTATCATTGACAGCCAGAGAAACCCATCTGTTTCACTCATATCCTGTAGAGTCTTTCCTACCTGTGACCCAGCAATGTGGTTGACCCTTAACTGTCTTCTGAAATGACTCCGTGCAATTAGGGATTGGCAACAAATGTTGGCCATACCTTTGCCAGGTATGCCCCCATCCCATTAAAGACTAAAGAAATGAAACCCAGGCTGGTATTTTCAAATTTTTATGTGTTGGAGAACCTCTTTTTAAAAACCTTTGTAACTATGGATGCTGAGCTAATTACTCTTTAATGCCCATAATGCAGAGGGACTCCATATAAAAGAATTTTAATAATGCCTTTAATAAAACAGGTATTTCTTTGAGTTTAAGTATTTATACATATAATGAATAGAATTTTAGAACCATAGAAATGAAATAGCATAGAAGGGTGCCATTTAGCCCATCTTTTCCATGCCAACCCAGATGCCCTTTCTAATGCCATCTTCCTGCACACGGCCCCTAGCCCTGCGGCCCTTATGGTACAGATCCAGGTACTTCTTGAAAGAGTTTAGGGTCTCTGCCTCCAACACTAACTTAGCAAATTCCAGACTCCCACCACCTCTGCATGAAATGGTTTTTCCTCATTTTCCTTCTAATCCGTCTGCCATTTAACTTGAATCTATGACCCCTGATTCTTGAACTCTCTGCCAAGGGAAACAGATTCCTCTTATCTACTCTATCTCTACCCCTCACAATTTTGGTACCTCAATCATGTCACCCCTCAGCCTTCTCTGTTCCAAGGAAAACAAACGGCAACCTCTCCAATCTCTCCTCATTGTACAGTTCTCCAGCCCTGGCAGCTTTCTGGTAAATTTTCTGTGTACTCTCTCCAGAACAATTACATCCTGTCTGTAATGTGGTGACCAGAATGGCACACCATACTCCAGCCGTAGCCTCAACCACTGTCTAACACAATTGCATTATTCTATCCCTACTTTTGTATTCTATACCTCTGTCAATGGAGGGGAGCATTGTACATGCCTTCTTTGCAAATTTGTTTTCCCAAACTACTATCTTTAGGGACTTGTGGACTTACACGCCAAGATCTCTCACTTCATCTACCCCTCTCAGTATGTTCCCATTTATAGTGTATTCCCTTTTACCATTTGAATTTATAATTTAAGATTATATTGTATAAATTTTTTATTTAAAAAAAGCTCCCTCCTCTTGAACAAGGCTGATCTCCCCTAAATGTTATCATGAGTTTGTTAACAGAGTGTCTATTTGGCGATAGTCATGTCGTTCTTAACACTCCATCATGTACACTGCCCTTGGATAGACAGCCCACTCTGTGCTACATTGTGTCTGCTACCACCTTGCCATGTGCACAGAGCCTTGGCTTCAGCCACTACCCCATTCACTTTCTACTTCATCTGCCCACCTCAGCTCTTCTCAAACATGGCAGCTGGAGTATTTAACAGGGGACACTTCCTCATTATTTTGCAAGCTCTTTGAAAAGGTATTGACAGACCTTTAAGGGGTCGTTGAACTCAATTTGAGAGCTGTTGATCCAGGCTTAATCTGCATTGCTGTACTGAGGGAGTGTGGATGAGATGTGAAAATGTGCAATATAAATGCATATATAAATATTGTTTCTTCTTCGATTCTTACCAGGTTTGATTCACGAAATAACTTTCAAAAGTGACACGTCCTTCGCAGGAGTTTGTTAATGCGCTGAACTAAATGTGCCGGATAAAGCTCTTCAAAGGGTATTTAAAGTATAGCCCCAAGATAAACTCATTCCCAAATATGTAATTTGAGAATATTCTATGGATGCAAAAAAAAAAGCTATTTTGCAAACTAGCTTGACAACCTGCCAAAATGTGTCAGAAGTTAAGAAGGCAATTTTATGAATACCAACATTCAGTGTGTCAGATAGCATTAAATAAATGAGGAGATTTCAGGGGACTGGTATGAACATCTTTACATGAATTGTCTTCAGCTATATTTCTCCTTCAATATATTACTGGCTTTATGGCCTTGTGGGTTAAAGCAACGACTGAGAGTTCACAAACTGCGCCAAGAAGCTACAGTATCCGGGGAAGGAATGTAATTATGTTTCTAAAATTCTCGATAGAGAAAGAAAGTCAGACCAACCTCCTTTGACCTGTGAAAGCTCTTAGGTGAAGAGGAGCATCGGATCATGAACAAATTGGAGACAGTTTTGGTAATTCGGCACTAAATGCAAGTTAGGCATCGAACATTGTCTTTTCTCTTCAATGTTTTATTAGCACCAAAAATGATGTGAATTTAACATAATATTTCAAGTAGAGTTCCAACAATGATTTTACTGCAATAACAGTCAATAACAAAATAATTTGCACTACTTATATTTTCACTTTGCCACTTCATAAATCTTGTGTTCTTCCTTTTTAGCCCCCTCATACATTGGTGTTGCTTTTCTTCTGCTACGTAGAAAGTGGATCTCTTTTTTGTTTACAGACTTGAGTATTTTTTTTGCAAGGCTCGACAATTTTCAACTCTCCAGAGATTCCT